AACGCGCTCCAAAAATGAAAAGCAAGCACAGGCTGAAGCTGAAGGTTTATCTCAGCGACGAGCACTAGCTCACTCTCAGTTGGAAGCTATGGAACAACAAAAGATTCACAGACAGCCTCATGAAATGTCTATGTATCAACGTAATCACATACATGTGTCTCATGCCTCGAACTTCCCAAACCAGGCTGTAGCTGGTATAGAACAAGTCAATCCACATCATCTCTTGTCATCTCAAGCTGGAAACGGATCATCCCAATATTCAGGAGATGTAAAACGCAACGTTCCTCATTCGTTCTCCCCTCCATCTGCATCCATACAAAAAGATGTACAGATCCCAGGTTTTAACAGCAATGACAACATGATGCTCATGCAGCAGTTACAAAATCAAATGATGTTAGATCCTCTCACTCTAATGCGAATGCAGAATGAAAATAACGCTAGAAATCAAGCTATAATGAATCAAATGCAGTTGAAGAAAAACGCTGAGGAAGCATTCAGAGTGCAGCAAGAAGAGTTAAGGCGAGAAGAAAGTAGAAAAAAGTCAGCTGAATTTTCAAATGCTGCACTTAAACAGAAGAAAAAAGGATCTCCACAAGGATTTCCATCGTGTGAGGCGAATGCAGATGAAATATGTATGCCAAGTACATCATCATTCAACCACCTTCAACAATTAGGCATTGTTCCTATGCAAGCACAACCTCCGATTCAAGCTCATCAACTGCATCAACTTTCCATTTCCCAGGTAAATCCTTTGTAATATTCATTTTTCCCATTACCTCAAACCTTTAGAAGAATATGAATCCAACATTTGTGTCCACAGCCCCAAGCACTTTTGTTGCACCGGTATTACCTCTGCGCAAAGAGAGTAGGGAGAGAAGTCCGGAGGTACGGCAGTTTGGCAGTCGTTAGGTTAGGAGTTCTGCTAACTCTTACTATCAACTAACATTTTCACAAATGATAACTTTTTATAAAAAGGTGCAATTTCAGAAGCCTGACATGGGAATCAAGATAGCAAAGGCTGGAGAAAATAGAGAAGGAAGACAAAGTTGAAGACAGTTTCGTATGCACAGAATATAACTGAGAGCTTGAGAATTCTACTTAACCATATGAAATATTATAATGTTCGTTCATCGAACTTCAAACGTCAATTAAGGAAATTATGTTTGCAGAACTATTTACTCCAAATATGTATGAACTCTGCATCCACCTTATCAGGTTACCAATAATAATCTTCAATAATATTTTTTTATTTAAAAAAAAAGAAGAAAAAAAGAGAAAAAAAATTTTTTTTTCCCACAGAGATGTAGTAGTAGTAGTATATGAACTGTTGACATGATCAATGTTATCCTTTTGTGTTGTATTCTTTATGAAATGTATAAATAGATCTCTTCTTATCCAATCTATTGAGTTTACTACTGTTATTGGAATATTATATATATAAATATATTTTTAATATGAAGTGTAATAGGAGATGCTTTGAAACGCAACGAATTATGCAGATTTTGTCTCAAAATATCTCATTAATTGCAATCTGACCAATAAGACTCATTGAAGTAGATGGCCATTCCATGCTTCTATCACATGCTCCTGTGTATGTGTGTGTCTGTGTCTGTGTGTTGCCTTATATCACATTCTCAGCTTTTTCCATTTTTAGAGATGAGATAAGACTTCTGTAAAACCTTAGCAGATTAAAGATCATACCCACTTTGAAACTAATTGAAACGACAAGAAATTGATCATTAAACTTAGGAATTAGGTTCATAAGGTTGCAGCTGAATGAGTATAATCATTATCGCTTTTCCATTCTTTCCATTTCGTATCGCTTCTTCTCTTTTTATTTTTTTATTTTATTTTATGAAATTTCCAAAAACTTACTCTCATCATTCGTTCATTGTGGCATTCAACTTCTGGCATTCAATACCTTCAACAATCTGTTTTTCCATTTTTCTTCTTCTAAACTCAACTTTCGAATAAATGGAAAAGTGTCAAAGTAGTTTCCTTATTTTTCTATTATTTTCTCTAAGAGGACGGAAGAATTTTTTTGCCCCCAGGCTAATCGGCACTCATCATTCCATGTACTCACTTCGTTGTCTAAGTTTTATCATCAACATATCATTTTAAACTAGCAACTTATTTTCTTCATCAACATTCTTTTTTTTTTGCTTCTTTACCAAAGGTCTTCAGGGGCTCGTAGACATTTGGACGTTTCATAGTTTTCCTACTCTCTCGATTCCAAAACTTGTTTCTTATAGTTGTCTTTGCCGTCCTCATCGTGAACCACAACCACATTTTGATTGTATACTCATACCCAAACAGGCTTGATGCTCAAAAAAGCTTGATGACGTTGCTTTCCTCTCCATCTTCATCTGTCACCGTTGAAGCTTCATCGGATTGTGCAGATTGCATTAAGAGCTGCGGGGATAAAACTCTAATTCTATCAAAGACCGTCTGCTTCCAGCCAGATGCCCCTAAGGGCCCAAAAATAGCAACAGCGTGCTTTGAAGCTCTAGGACAACAGCCCAAGGCAACGTTCTCCAGCTCAGTTAGTTGTTAACGTCGTTCCTTTTCTTCGTATTTTCCATTAAAAATATTTCTTTAATTTTTTGTGCTCATGGGTAAGGTCGTTCAAGGCACAAGCATACATATAGGAAGAGAGTACTCCAGTGTGAGCAAAGTGGAAGAAGGTCAGAGAAAAAGAAGATGAGGGAGAAGGGAAATAGAAGTCGAAGGAAATAAGACTGAAGAGAGAGACCAGTTGCCAAAAACATAGAATAAGGCAAGAGAACAACTGAGTGAAAGTCAAGTTCCAAGAAGAGGAAAGAGCTGAAGAGATGAGCAGAGAGTTTTTGTGTGTGTGCGTGTGTGTGTGTCTGTGAGTAGGGTGAGTGAGTGAGTGAAAAAAAAAATATTTGGAGAAATAGAGAGTAGTTGGATAACTATGACCATGTATGGTCATCAACTGGCTTGTTAAGACTTGATCAGGTACTTGTAGAAGCTTTCTTCTCACATAGTTAAGCAATTTTACTTCTTTCATGAACGAGTCAACAACAAGAGATACTCTTATTTCTCAATTTTTTTTTTATTTTTCCTTCATGAAGAATTGCAATTCTAAGAGTTTTTAAGTTTTTCAAAAGATTTTTCCGAACCAAAAGACTATTACTTTAGATCGAAAAAGATAAAATCGAAGTACAAACATTGGAAATAATTACTTCAACTCGATCTCCCATTTCAATAGCTTAACCATCACGAAAATGTCCTTTAAATAATGGAAAAACGGCTTCATTCATTCATTACCCTTTTGTGTTTTTGCTGGATTTCTCTTCGTCTTCTTCTTTTTCTTCATCGTCTTCTCCATCTTCTTCTTCTCTTTCTCATCGCTAGAAGACGATCGACGAGATGAAGGAGAAAAAAAAATTATTTTTTCTAATTTATTAAAGACGACTACGACAAGAATTATAGAATCTCAGGTTCTTCGCATGAATTTACTTCAATTATTTTACTCTTCCTCTTCCATCACATGAAATCCGTTATTTCGTTTTTTTCCTTCGTTTTCCAACAGCTTAGACGATGTTTATGAGCTTCTTGACATTTTATTTGCCAGAGAAAAGTTTTTTCTTCTCTCTCTATCTCTCTCTCTCATTCTTTTTTTTTATTTTTACCTTATTTGAAGCCTATTCTAAATCACAAGTTTATTTATCTTCTTCTTTCTCCAATGAATTTTGTAAAGAAACTGAGAATCTTGAAGAGAGACACAAAGACAGAGGGAGGAGGAGTAATGAGGGAAAAAGTAGATTTCTACATTTTCTTCTTGCATTCCCTATGATCTCATGTCTTGCATCTTTGGAATTTCTCGCTAAACTTTCTTCTGCTTCTACAGAATACCAAGATTACATTTCACTTTTCTCAAAGCTTATCTTTGAACTATTCTGAGATTTTCAACAAAAAAAGTTTCCCCTTTCTCTTTCAGTTTCTCTCTCTCTCTCTCTATCATTCAATTCCCTCATCTGTTTATCTCTCTTTCTCTTTCTCTCCTTCTCTTTATTTCTTACTCTCTCAATCAATTTCCTTAAAGTAAAACGATTTGAAGATAATACGAAACGATCTATGGATACATCACTAGCTGTTCTGATGGATTTCCGAACTTGCACTCTAACACCCTTCCTCCTCAAACATTCTTGAAGAAGTGAAACGATTTTTTTAATACTTCTTCTGATTTTTAACATATTTTATGATTGACAAGACGTCATATAGATTCTTGAACGAACATCGACGCCATTCAAATCATTGAGGAAAATCCAGTGTCTTCTGTCTCTGTTTTTTTTTTCGTCTATGACTTGTTTAGTCTTTCTATTTCTTCATTTAGCTCTTCTTCTCTGCTCCATTTCCTGAAATGGTAGTCTTTCACCTCTTTCGATGCTTCTCATGTCTAGTTATTTAGCTTGAATGTCTTAATGGTCACTCTTGTGATTCCTTGTGTGGTCGTTGATGAAATCTTCTAACAAAATGCCGGAAGACACGAATATGTCATCTGGGGGATGCCGTGTTCATTTATTTCATTAGTCAAAGCTCCATTTGCCTGATAATCTGCTCTTTTCTTTCATTTTGACGTAATTTTGTACTTAAATTTAAATTTTCAAACAACAATTATATTTAAATGCTAATTTTTGAACAAAAAACGAAAAACGACATCCATCACTCACAATCCAAAACATTAATTTTTCGTTTGTGTTTGTTCTCTTTCTTGCTCATCGTTGATGCCGTCTTCGTCCTTTATTTTTTTTTTCATTGTTTTTTATCAATGTCATCAGCATTCTTTTTCTTTTTTTTTCGAGAGAGAGATCAGAGTCTCTTCTTCTCTTCACGTTTTATTTTTAACTGTCGATTATTTTAGTCACATCTTCTCATTTCGATAACGTAGAAACTCAGAATCTTCATTGCACGACGACGACGAGGACGACGTGTTCATTTCCTCCTCCGCAGTTCTTTTTATTTTTTCAACTATGGGTAGCACACAATCTGCTAGTCATCAACAGAAAAAGGAGAAGGTAAAAGCAAGTTGAGTTTCAAAAAGACGGAAACTCTTCTCCTTATTTTTGAGTTTCAAACAAAAAAAATTATTTTTGTTTATACACTTATGAGAAAAATATTAAAAATGAATGTTATTTTATCCTTGTTTTTCTTTGCAAACTCGGTTTTTCTTTATTTAGCTCATGACGACGATGAGGAATGAGATGAGATGTGAGAACGGCGTTTCATGCTAATTTCATTTTTGAATATTTCACGCATGGAAATCACGTGTAATTCTCATTTTGCATTCGAATTGTTGCATATGCGGCTGTGTATGTGTGTGTGAGTCTGTGTGTGGATATGTGTGTGTGTGTTTGCGTGAAATCTTTGACACGAAAAGAAAAGAAAATAGAAATATGAAGCTGAACATGATATACATGTACTATATTTCTATTAAATATTATATGTATGTTTGCAGGTAGAAAAGTTATTTCGTCAGAATAATCGATCAAATCGTAGCCGAAGTTTAGATGTTCGGCAGGATCGTCCAATTCGTCCAGTAGGCGCCAGCCATAGTGCTCGTTACAGTAAAAGCAGATGTGTTCGCTCAATGGATGATGGAGGTATGTATGTGAAGATATGGAATGAAAAAAATATTATTAAAAGAACGTTTGTTGACTGCTTGATTTGTTTTTTTTTTCTCTTTTAATATTTCGTACTCAAATTAATCATTCCATAAAACGCGATAAGATAGAATAGAAAGACACAAGTGAGAGAGAGAGAGAGAGAGTGGAAGGCGTGAGGATTGCATAAAAACAAGCGATCTCTTTGGACATTTTGAGGAATAAAATGGAAAAGCTCACATACTTTATGATTTATTTTAATGTTCTTTGAATAGTTATGGTATGTAAAGCTGCTGAAATTTAGCAAACAGTAGATATTTAGAAGTCAAAGCATTTTTGGACAAGATGTTGATATGATACTCTTGGGAGCAGTGTAAGAAGTGAGGAAGTTGAAGACAATCGCTGTCGGAAAAACGAGACAGAAATAGAAAAAAAAGAATGTTACGAACTATCTCATTAATTACTCATCTCTCTAATGTAATCCTTTATGGAATATTAAAGAGGGGTCTAGGGTTGGTCTACATTAAATCCTCCTATCCATTCTCTATTCTATTCAGCTTGAGCTGACAACTCAGCATCTTACTCATGAAAGCAGTAGTAAACCAGAAATTAAGAAGAAAAATAAAAGCGTAGGAAAGTCTAGAAATAAGAATTCAGGAAAAAGAAAGGGATAGAAGAAACATAAGAGAAGTGAAAACAAGTGTCTGAGGAGAAATCCCATATTGCTAAATATGTAACGATTACGAACAGACAGCTAAATTACTCGAGTGAGGGTTTGGATGATTTTGGTTGGAAACAAGCACTGAACAACATCTTCAAGCTTAATACAACCTAAAAATGGAAAAAAAATTTATTCTTCCGATATCGTCCTTAATCCATTCACCGAATAGAAATCTGAATTTCTTGAGAAATATTTAAAAATAAGAATATCTTATTCATTTTTCTAAATGATATGTAAATTCTATAGAAGATGATGTCATGTGTCTCTCTATCAACGAAAAACAAGATAATGATGTGTATGCTCTGAGTTATCTTTTAATTTTCAGTGAACGGCTCTATATCAGGCTTAAGTATGGAAGAGAAGCGGATGTTAGAAGTGAGCTTTAAACTTTTCATGAAGAAGAGAAAAAAAAAGTTTTTAAATTCAATTCTTCATTCAGTTTTGTTGGTTCAAATGCTCACAGCGACAAGTGAAGAAGTGTGCCGAAGATATATTTTTGGATATCTTACACACAGATGAAGAATTACTGACATTATTCAAATTAGTTAGTTCATATATCATCTTCTAAACAGATTTTTTGAATTATTTATAACATTAACAGGAAGGAACGCCGTCTAATCGATTAAAAGAAAACGAATTTTTCAAATCACATGCTGCAAATTTTGCGATTGTTCTCAATTTGGTTGTAACAAATCTCCAGGATAACTTTGAACAAGCTTGTGAAGCACTTCAAGTAAGTTACCCTTTGAAGAAGAGAAAAGTTTTTTTTTCTTTTTTTTTTCTTTCAGACACTTGGAGCTCAACACACCAATCTTCGTTCACGTGGTTTTCAGTCCATGTATTGGGACATCTTCACAGATTGCTTTGAGAGAAACCATCCGCCGTCATTTAGAAAGGAAGAAGAACGAGAGGTTTTGCATTTCTATACGCTTCTTGTGTGAAAATATGTTATGTTTGAAGGCATGGAGTAGAATGATCTTATTCATATTATCTCAAATGAAAATTGGCTATCAAAGAGTTATAATGGAGCAGAAGAAGGATGAGCAGCGTCTAAGTGTCCCACAAATATTTTGAGAGACGAAGAAGATGAAACAAAGTATCAAAAATTGATATATATCAGGATTGGCTTATACTATGTATGGAGCATAATGAAAAATGTAAATAAATAAAAAAATAAATATATATATAAATATATTTATATGTTGTATAATAAACGGATTGATTTGAACCTTAGCATCTAGCACATGCATCATCATTATCTATCTGCCAAGTTGTGCATCGTCCTCTACCTCCTCCTTCTCTTCCTTCTACATCTTCTTCTTCTTCTTCTTCATCATGTTCTTCATAAATCTCCGTGTGTTGCTATATCAGAAGAAAAAAAAAGGAAAAAGGAAATGTCCAATTGAAAGATTGAAATTCATTTTTTATTTTTTTTTTTTTACAAAAGATTTTACACTTCTTTTGTATAACAATTATCTTATAAAAAGTTTATATTCGTGAATACACTGTTGGAAAAGCAATTAACTGCCAAGGAAGTTCTTGAGAATCAAGATTTTCATTTACCTATTTGCTAGCAAACGACCACGTTTATGGCTTAACTCTGACATCAACTATCATAGCGATCACCAAAGATATTTCAATAAAAACTGATCAAAAATCATATATTAGCAGAAGAATGTATGTCTGTGTCTGTCTATGTGTGCTATCGATAAGTTTGCCACTGCTACATCCCAGAACAAAAAAAAAAGGTTTTTGCGAGAGACACGAACAGGGTTTTGAAACATTTCAAATGTTTATCGTTGAATGAAATAACATTCATCTTAATTCACAATTTAAGTTATTTGACCTTAACATCGTCATTGAAATTTAATCAAACAAACCTCCTACCATCCTACTTCGTGCGTGTGTCTGTCGCAGTATGTGGAAAATGAAAAACGAGAACTGTTCTCATCTGAATATCATATGAACACTCATACCTACACACAACTGTGTTATCAAATTGAATTATAGAGAGGAAATACTTTTCATTTATCACATTCTTCCATTTTTCCTACAAAGTTTCAATATGTATCTGGTTGGTGGGTTTTATCACGGAAGTTCCTCCTTCTTCTTTTTGTCTCTATCTGTGATGACATTACATGTAATTTCAAAGTTCGAATGAGGTCTTAAAAGGCCAGCCCCACCCACGAATTGAGAGGGAGTCAAGGAATCAGAAGGCGACACGGCCACTGTCTTAAGTAGTCTTATCTCTCCCACCTTCAGATTAATATGATTTTCTCAACACTTTTAGGTTTGTCACTTAGAAATGTTTTAAAAATAGCTATCTAACTCTATTTAAGGAATTTTGCTTATCTCTACAGTATCCTCACTAGATTGTAAACTCAAGAATAGAGGAAAGATTCAGGTGTGCTGGTTCTCACATATCCTTTACCATAACCACGATTTAGTGGTATTTTGATCCGGCTCATTGGACATGCTTTGCTATTCCCGCAGACTGTGAAACAAACTTCAAAGTTGATTTCAAACTTTATGATTCTGAAGAAGAATGCACCTTGAAGAATATGGGTTAGTTACCTGCAATACGTATTCTTCTATTTCCTCATTGTAGTGAGGCTATGGAAATCATATAGCCTGAGTTGTGGACCTTCTCAGAGAATGGCTGTTTATCAAAGAACAAATGTTTGTTTGTTTTTCAAATGAGCATAATAATGAGAATATTAATTAGGGTGATTACTTCCCATACATATTTTCATCTTCACTCTGCCATCCTGATTCCTCATCAGAAGTTTGCAATAATGATGAAAGCTGCCATTCTTACTCAGGATTTGCATATTGCTGCAAGAACTCAGCATTTTCAGGAGATGGTCCGAGTATGTTCTCGGTATATATACATAAAAACATATTACGTTTCTTAAGCCCGAGGTGTTTTTAACTTCACCGGTTTGGGTGGAGCAAGTAACTTCCTGGTACACAAATCTTCTACTGAACCACCTGCACCAGCTCCACAAGACTGCAACTTAGACGGGAATAGGCAAGAAATAGAAGTAGCTCGTTTCTTCTGATCTTATCTCATCGTATCTTGCTTAAGTGGTATCCAAAAACAGGAATGATGTGTGTAAGTCGCAGAAAATCTTGCTCAAAGTCTCAATTTGGAAGAGATGCAGCGGAAAAGACTTATAAAACTCAACAAGAGTGCATGGATGCGCATTACGGTTTTGAATCATCAAACTAACTGTCAAAGAAATCTGTTCATTTAGCAAACTGGAAGATATCTTATCGTCTCACCTGTTCCCCTGGTTATTCGGCTGCTGCTAATGGAACACCTCTCATATTCAGGTACTAGAGTATATACAAAAATTTCATTCAATTGATATTACAATCAGCTTTGAGAATTTAAAACAAAAAAATGTTTAGAATTTGTAAAAAAAGAGTAGAATGCTTATTCTTCTTCTTCCTCTTCATATTCCTCTTCGTATGCACGAGCTTCAGCAGCCTTAAATCATTACTTGCTCATTAGCTCTCTTGTTATTAACTCACTTCTAATTCTTCCTGAATTTCATGGGCATACTTGGCAATAACCTTTTCAAAGAGAGCAGGTGGGGGTGGAATACCGGGGAAAACGGGATAAGCATGCTTCTAAAATGAATGAATTAAATAGTTTTGCAATTCATTTACTGTAACTTACAGTCTCAAATACATTTCTACGCTCCTTGAAGTTTCTTCTATCAATTTGACGATCGTATTTGGAGGAAATTTGAACTTTTGGCTGAAATTTATTGTTTTGAGATAGAAAACCTAATCAAACGATCTTACTGGGTATCTTCCGCCGGTGTCATCTGGGTTTTGTCCTTTTTGTAAATTGTTACGAGCAACTTGACGAGAACGCTCGTTCAACTCACGAAGCTGAGAGAAATTTAATTATTACATGATTAAACATTGCTAACTCACATCATATTCTTGACGTTCATGTCTCTTCTCTTGATCGTACTTCTCAGCCTCCAACTTGCAAATTTTCTGGTACAATTCTTTGATTTTGGCCTTCAATTCTGATTCTGCGTAACTGTCAGATTCTGGGATTCCTTTCTCGATAGCTTGAATGAACACCTGGAAAGCAATTATTCAGAACGAACGTTTCCAAAATGATAATCTTGTCTTCCATGATTAAAGCAAAAACTATTGAATTTCGACATAGAATTAACATATTAGAAGAAGAATGAAACTAACCCTCTTGGCTTCTTCCTGTTGTTCCTTGGTCATTCCCATTTCTTGTTTGGCTTGGACGATGTTTCCGAACTTATCTCCCTTCTCAGTTTTACGTTCAATAACAAAGTTGCTAAACAACGAAATGTGAACATGAACGAGATTGATCTATATTACCGTCCTCCTTGTCCAGCTGGAACACCGAAAAGAGCTTCAGCCTTCTTCTTCTTCTCTTCATCCTTCTTTCTCTTGTCTTCTTCCATCTTTTGACGACGAGCTTCCTCTTCCTGACGTCTTCTCTCTTCATCAGCCTTCTTTCGTTCTTGGGCTTCACGTTCTTCTTGTTCTCTTTCCAAGCGACGTTTCTCTTGCTTTTCCTTCAACTTGCGGAGCTCTTCTTCTTCCTATACGTTTAATGAGATGAGAAGAATACAAAAAAAAGAAACCTTTTCTCTCTCTGTCTTTCTTCTCTCTTCGTAATCTACAAGCTTAGCTTCATCATCATTGTCATGACGTTTCTTAGCAGCCTAAATATATTATTTGAACTCTTTGACAGTTGCTGCTGACTGTACCAGCATGGCCTTCTCAGCTTCATTCAAGTCTTCTCCACCATCACGAGCAGTGCTGAAAATTCTAAACGTTAATAATGAGTAAAGTTCGAAGTAATTAAAGCTGAGCGAGTGAAGCGTTAGCTGCGGATGATTGGGTGTCTTTTAAGCATATTATTATGATTTTGCAGCTGATAAGCTCAAGTATTAAACTGTAGTAAGCTATATAAGGATAATTGATAGCAGTGTTTCTTTTTTATTTTGCAAAGCCAATTTGTAATAGATTGTCAAGATGTTTGAGGTTGCGAATTAGCCATCTTTTCCTTTCTTTTCTCAAAGCTCTCGAACTGTATGGCAAAAGAAAGAACAGAACAAACATGCAGTTCTCATGAAGCAGAAGAATAAGAAGAAAGATGAGAAGAAGACGAAACATGCCGGCCAGAAAGAGATTTCGAGAGAGCAAGAGAAAACATTGTGCTCATCTCGCTTTATCTCCTTCAAACTCACTTTTTCCAATGAAAATGTGTAAAATCTCGAAGTATTAGTAAATTAAGTTAGAAAATGTGGATGGATGCATATTAGATTGAGTGAATACTATAGAAGAAACTCAAGAAAGTGCAGTAGTGTAGAATGTATGTGCTCACCGTCGTGGAGGACTGCAAAAAGAATTTAAACGATTATATCAAGCTTGAGCATGAGTGCTCATCGCTTCAAACAACAAATTATGTAAAAAACTTTTTGCTTTTACTATCAAATCATGTGGTGCTTTCTGTGCATATTGGGTAAGATCACCTTATCTATGTTCTTTTGATGGAAATTATCGGATAACACGTCAAATGTAAAACATACGCTTCTTCCTCTTCCTCTTCCTCTGCTTCTTCTTCAGCAGCTACTTCTTCGACTACTTCTTCTGCTTCGGCTTCCTCTTCTACCTCCTCCTCTTCTTCGTACTCGGAGCTGAAGATTTTGAAGTTAACAAATCTTCATTTGGAAGCAAAAGGAAGTATAATCAAAACTTACTACTCCTCATCAGACATGATTCCGTCTGAAATGAAAAATAATGAATTTGACTGGTAAAAAAAAAGAGAAAAACGTAGAAAGTTTAAAATTTCATGTAAGTCACTGAAGTAAGAAGAAAATTGGAAAATGAATTTTTGTGAAAGAATTCAGAGAGACGTCGAAGAGCAACTGAACAGGAGCTTCAACAAAGATGTGTGCAGACGTTTGAGAGCTAGATCTTTCATATGCGTAGGCCGGCCGAAGCAGGACGTTGAAGAACGGAAGATAAGAGATAGAGAGAGGTGGGCGAGAATGGAGAGATTCAGAATGAGAGGAAGATAAAATGTACAGATGAAGCCATGATTGACTGTCTTGACTGTGTGGATTCCTTAGACTGGACTCCTCATCCTCCTTCACTTTGTTCTCGTCGTAAACTACGGCGATATGTCGAGTGCCCGTAATGTTTACTTTATTGGATATGCCAGAGTCAACGTCTCACCTCAAGCTTCTCTCTCGAAATCTACTGATCAACTTTAAGCTTATCGTCTCTGAGTTGAGCACTGTCTTTTTCTTTTTCATCGGCACCTCTTGCTCAGAACCTCCTCTCTCATCATCTTTTTTTCTCATCTTTGTACGTCTTCTAATGCCAATGATAAATTGGTTAAGCCAGAACTTTCTGGGACAAATCAAAAGCTGGATTCTGGGGGTAATTATAACAAGAGTGTTTAAACGTGACAAGAAAGAAAATAATGATGTAACAACTCAATACTTGCAGTAAGGATAAATGTGGATCATTACATAACTCTGATGTTTGTAATCGTGATGAGTATTGTGCATTCAAGAACTCATCACCATATGCCTTCTGTTGCCAACGTAGTTCCAGTCCGTGTGAGTTTAATGAAATCAGAAATCATAGTCTAATGATATGCTTTGCAGATGTGATCTCATATGTCGTTTATGGAAAGAATTATCGAAGACGTGCTCGTCGCAATAGTCAATTAATTGAAATCTAAAAAGAATGATCTTTATTTAAGCATTATATAGTATATACAATAAAATAAAATGAAAACATCGAATCCGTTTAGTTTTGTTTGGGAGCGAGATCATTTCAACGAAAGTACGTGGAACGATACCGAAATAGTATAATACGATTTACAATTTTTTAAAAATGATTTTTCTGTTAAGCTAGTTAACCTATAATTACAACACCGGATTTATTCCAAAGAAATTATTTTTTTTCTTTTTCATCAAAATTTCTTAATCAAATCAATCATTTCTTCCTATTTTTTTTATCAGTGGAATAGAAGACAAATATTATTATTTCTTAGAATATTTTGAAGAACAAAAAAATGTTTCTTTTTCTCTCTCTTTCGTTTACTCTTTGTTTCCACATATTTCCTTTTTGCTTTTTTGAAGTATTATTGTTATGTTTTTGTTAACGAAAATAATTAATTAAATAGCCAGAATAAGGCTGGTCGAGGTGATTGTTGGCGCTGAGGTACAGGTACTAACGGGTGAATACATTTACAGTCGTGCAGGAAGATATTTCCGAAATCATGACATCGTCCACACCTTGAATTATTTAAGTTTATCATCTGTTCGTTCATTCCCTTAGTCAGTCTTACCATCCGAGTGCAAACAAATCTTTGCATGAGTTTGTTAACCAATCAAAGCTACATCCTAGCTGTTCCAGAGATGAATTAGCTGCTTGACCATTAATAACCTGAAGAATTCAAAATTACAAACTTATCAGCTTCTCTTTTTCAGTTTTTTTTGGCCTTCTTAAAATAACAAATTGCTACCTCAAACCGGTTTTCTGGTAAATGTGGAGGTGGAGGAGGAGGTGGCGGTGGCGCCATAGGTGAAGTGATTGGAGAACCAATACCATTAGCAAGATTATTCGGAACTAACTTAAATTTTCTTTTAATTAATTGTTTTTTTGTAAGTTTTTTTCATACGTTGTTCGGAAGATTAGGTGGAACCGGAGGAGGCAGCATGGGAGGCGCCAAATTTGGGAGTGCCGGTAATGGCTGAATGGGCGGTGGCAACTAAAAGGAACAGATCAGACACATTCTCTACACCGATTCGAAAAACCTGTGGAGGTAAAGCCGATTGACTGTTAATATCTTTAACTTCAGAAGGTGAGTTAATTTGTGGAACAGGCAAGAAAAGCTGTCCAGCTTGTTGCAGTGGTGAAGGTTGTGGAGGAGCTAATGGTGGAATTCCACCGATTCCACCCATGTTGATTCTACTAGGAATGGCAGATCCTTGATTCTGAAAGCATTATAATTAGGAATTTAATGAGTATTCACAATACATTAGTAGCTTGTCCTACAACTGTTTGAGAGAATGTTCTTGTTGGAGATGGTCCAGGTCGAGTGAGCAGATTCCTCTGAACAAATGCTGGAGGTGGTTGCTTGAATTCATGCTTTTCATCAGTGATTGAAGAAACAACAGGTGGAGCCTTAAATGGTTACTGGTTATACAAGATGGTCAGAATATATATTACTTTGAAGATAGTTGGTGTTGTCTGGATGGGGATAGGAGTTGTTCTTTGTATTATGACATCTTCAGTTTTTACAGCGACGGTTGTCCTTTCCATACCTCTAGCCATCTAGAAACATCATTACAGTATTAACTACTCATAAGAAGTGAATCAACCTCAGATGCCTCAGGCATAGTCATGTTATCTTCTAATAACTTATTTACATGGTGTTTATCTCCTTCGTAGTTATACGAAACTATTTGGACTGATTCTGAACAGATAGTTATTAGCAAGCCCTGATTCGCGTGTGACGTGAAACGTTTCACGTGGAACCCACGCAGGATTTCACGTCAATTGCATTATTGTCTTTTTATACGTTACGAACGGTTGTTTTTATCCAGTTTCATATTAGTGAGAGAGAGGATATCATTTCTGTTATCTTACCTGGCTTTTGAATAGCCAACTCATGAGTAGGTACAGCTTGTGCTCTCTTTGTGAAACGTCCTGACGCTCTATATAATCTAGGCTCATCTGTAAAACAGTTTTGAAATAACAAAATACAAACAGTATCGTACCGCTGCTAAATGAAGCTATATGTTGAACATTTCTAAATACCCTTGATCGTAAGGGTCTGTTATAAGCTGGGAATGTCTGGGAACTGCGAAGAATCCGCTTAAACGACGAAGGATACGATGCTGCCTCGACGAAAATTTGTCTGTTATATGATTTTTGAGAGCCAATAAACTGTAAAACAAAGAAATTAGAAGACGCTATCAAAACATTAAGAATACATCGTCAACGGCTTCTATTTGGCATATAAGCCAGGCTACCAGGAATATCCTCATGAAGGGAAGGGACCCCTGAAACAAGAAAATGAGATAACAGTTGAAATTGATTCAGATGATTGTATTCTATAGAGATAGATTGTACGACTGAAATACATACACATATAAGCAAGATGAAGCCGGTTCGCCGAACGACAAGAGAATTTGGTGGGAGAGGGGGTAGCAGGGGTTGTGGTGATGATGATGTAGGGTATATAGAGAGGGGGAAGTGATTTGGAATCAAAATTGATTCAAACTTGAATGTTCTTCCCGTGTCTCTGATTTGATGGTCAATTTAGAATTGAAATTATGAATAGAATTGAAACATTAATTATAATTTTGGGGGGTGAAGTTGGAAGATAATGAAGCCAGATATTGACACGTTTTGAAGAATAAGGTGAATATACGATAATCACAAATCGCGAATGCAAATCTGGATACGGTAAAGATAACACTGATGTTGGTCAACTAACGACAAACCGACATCAGAAAAGACCGAAGTAGGCTTGAAAACGGTTGACGTCAATCACATCTTTCTTAAAGCATCTTTACATCAGCTATTGGTTCATCAGGATTGGAACATACGCAAGCCTACAGATGGTCAACGAACAAAAAAAAACTTCTGCCTGCGCTTTCAAGCTTCTCTCAAAGTGCTTATAAGGACAGTTTGTCAAAATAATGATCAGTTTCAAATGGGCTGAAGCTTAGAACGAGCATAACGATAGACAGAGACAATGAGTTCACAGCCACAACAGAATAGGTGTGGGCAAAAAGAAAAAGTTTCAATAATATAAATCCTTAAACGGCAAAACGAAGAAAAACTTTAAAAAGGGAAGACGCCTATAATGAGGTTCCGATCTAAACAGCAGTTCATTCAGTTTTTGATGAATAGAAAGGCCATCTATGGCTAAAAACTACTTTTATATCAGAAGCTTTCATCATTTTTCCTTTTTTTGCTGCCAAAATAAAATTACAACCGCAGCTTAAAAGGTGAATAAGAAATTCCAATGACGAAACTTGTTGATTTTCGTTTTTCACAAAGAATGTCAAATGCTGTCAAGAAGTTCATCCGACACTTTATTCTGGGAAGGACGTTCGAGGTAAAAGCCATGAAGCGAGTGTTTCATTGGAAATGAATCGAAGACGCAAGATGAGACAAAAAAAACGAATTCATACAGTCAACTGCGAAAAAAATTTTTTACATCGTTTTATTCTTCATTTTGCACTTTTGGAGACGGATCATTGAAATTTAATTGTTTTGGATCACTATAGGAAAGAGGGAAATTTGAAACATCCTTTTATCCTCCTTGCAAATGCCTCGAAAGGTTAAAAAAGCTTTTTTTCTTTAAAAAGAAGAAGATTGCGAATTGAATGTGAATTGAAATCGAGAGAAGATTCAGAACTGCAAGAAAAGTAATGTTAGCTGCGAAGAAATGTATTGAAAGCTTACAAGTAGTAGAGTGGGAGATATCTCTAACAAGCAAAGTATCGGTTGAAGTGATGAAGAAATTCAATTATATTAACAAGATTTTTGATAGAATACCGACATGGATATTCAGGATGTCCGGTAAGAGAGTTCGTCTGGTTGGCGACAGGTAATATTCTCTTATACGAGGTTGCAATTAACGTTAAAACTAACTTTTTAATAGAAAACCAAGGAATAAATTGAATTGAAAGAATCATTCGATGCTGTATTTGGTCAAACGAGATCGACATTAAAAGTGCGAAGAAGATGGTCTCAAAGCGAAGCTGCTGCATTGAGATGATTCTCCTCCACTCCAAGTTGATCTTTTTAATTTCTTTCGCTCTCTTTCCCTCCTTTTCTTCCACTTTCAGTCTCTATCTCTCTTCAAATATGTATATATCTTATTCTCTTTAATAACCCTTCTTTTCCAAATGTTCAGAAAGAGGGATTCAGGTCAATCGGCGATTGCCTTCTGGGGTAAGGTTCAGCACCAGTTTTCCCATTGTTACGCAACTCGAGATAGCAAAATATCGTCAGAATGAAGAGGAAATACAATCAAGATGGAAAACAAAAACGAAACACAGATATACACGGAGTTTCGAATCATATTTCGAGAAAAAAAAACTTTTTTTTTCGTTCTCCTTCTCGCTCAAAACAATATGTTGATGGAAGAATTAGAAAAGCAAATGTTGCCTGGGGCTACAAAAAGAAATTTTGAACAAACCAAAAGCCCTCTTAAACTGCACATTAAAAACGAATAAAACAAGTTCTTGTAAGTTGGAAATTAGGAATGAAAAGTCAACAAAATGACCGACCGAGACTCCGTTTCATCTGGGTTTTTTTTGGTATTTGAATGAAGCCTGTTGACTTCGAACTAACCTCAGACAACATGAGAAGACGTGAATGAGAATCAGACAAAAGCTTAGAAAGCAATGAGTTTCAAAAGCTTCTTCAAATAAGAACAAGCTCATAATAAGATCTAAAAACTTTAAAAAACTAGATTTCTTTTTAAATCAAAAACAACAGAAATACTCGACAGATATGAGGAGGAAGAGATTCAAATAGGAAATAAACACAAAAAAGAATACAGCATAACCAGATTTTCATTGAGAACTTGTGGTAATGCCAATGTATTTCTTAAGCAGATGATGAGGAACTACACATGCTAAACTTGAAAAAAGGAACAGCTTGAGCGACGATAAGCGATGCTATTATGAACAAAGCCAATTACCAGAATAACATAGAGATGAACCTTCCACTTAATTAATTTGAAACAAAGCACAGCTTCATCTAACCGCTTTTCTCTTTCTCTCCCATTCTCTCAAGAAACAAAAGGACGATATGATAATATTTATATCACATTAGCATATGCAGTGATGTTTCACGTGAAACGTTAACGTGGAACAAACAGCTCAATCCTATTAGTTGCAGCAAACAATGGCACAGATCAGTTGCATTCAGAACCAGAAAAAAAACAAAACAACTGTGAAGATAAACGTGTATTTGTGTTTTATTTTTCATTCAAGAAGAAGTTAATTGATAACTCCTAAATTAGTTTTTAGCTTTGAATTGGGTGTGTATGAACCCCAAATGTAAACGTGTTTCTTAACTCTTCAAACAATTCCATTTGGCTGTTCAATGATGCCCTTCAGTAATATCCAGACAGTATGCCTTTCAATCATCTAATACATGGCAATGACTAAAGCAATTACAAAACTGTAGTCGTTACTATTACATACTCTCTGTTCTCTAGACTAAACGATCATCTCAAAGAGGATGCGAAAAGGAAAAAGCGTTCAAACTTCTTCATCTTCTAACATACTGAAACATCCTCGGAAATCAAGATACTAATGATGACAAGCTTTTATCTTACAAACAACAAAAAATTTTATAAGCAAGCCATGGGCAATATCAATCGAAAGCTGGTGATGTGAAAGGAAGAAAGCTCTGGAAGATCTGTGTCTAAGATATAATTCTTCCATATGGCTAAATCAGTAATTCCGAATTAGGTTGAGAGAGAGAGCTTATTAATTAATCAAAAAAAGAAGATAGTTGGATTGATTATTAAAATAATTCGATGAAATCATATGGAAAGGGGCGCTGACTGATTGAGACGATGATGTGTCGTCAGTGATCGCTTCAGCGATGGCTATGTCAGAATAGTGTTCCAAAAATGGTAACAAAAAAACATGACAGTGATCAAGAAATACGAATAAAAATATCTTTTTCAGAAGATTTGTTACGAAAAGCTGAAACCTTGAGAGGCACGCCCTGTCTCCAAATCACAGCAGGATATGTGATAGCATATATGGATATTATGAATAAAAATCAAAAATAATTATAATAATCGCATATTGTTTTATTTCCACTTCAAATGATAACACCCAGCATGAGAAACACGTTTTCAATGGAAGAAGGGGGAGAAGATGATCAAAAAAACGTTGAAATCCATCATTGATATCTATCATAAACATTCAAATAACATTTTCAGAATGTTATTTCATCACATGCATTGATTGTTTCCGAATTACAATGCAAAACACTAGAATCTTCTGTTCATCTCTCGAAATGATAATGATGAGATAGAAGAAAAAAATGACTAATAATCCAATTTATTTCGAATGCCCTCAGGTATGTATGAAGCGAACTTCGCTATGAACAGGTTATGAAGCCCTTGGCAACCCATAGAACTGACCGCCAAAAGACTCGATTCTATCGCATTCAAAGATGGTGGCTAAACTATTTGCAGGAAAGATGTGAGAAAACGAAACGATTAAAGATAGATGAAGCTGGACGTATTGCGAGATTTGGCTTCATATCAAAAATCGAGATGAGAACGATAAATTTAAAGATCGACAGAGTCTGGACACAGGAAGTACATAAATCGTAATGAGAGGATAGGACAAGAATACTATCGCCCAAACAAGGATAGTGTTCATGGCATTACACAAATATGCTGCGATCGAGATGTTTGTGAAGAGATATGAACTATCCATGTCCATCTTATAAGATGCACGAACGTTGTACTAGCCAATGCCATTTATCACTTCAGTTATATCTTTATCAAACAGTTCGGCTTCTGTTTCTTCAATCTCCTTTTTAAACCGATCAGATTCACATTTCATTTTTTTCTTCACACATGAATGACTGCCAACTAGGATCTTTAAACCTCTCTTCAAATGAATTCGTCAAAATTTCGATTCATGGATGTCTATCACCGATGTGACGTAGCAAGCTCGGAAGAACTTCCCAAGAAAAAAACTTCCCATTCAAATTTTCTTGTAACGGAAGAAGATGAAGATAAATGATTTAATCAATGAGATATGTCCATGTGAGTGACAGATGAGTCAAAGAATAAGTATTCGAAGACAAAAATAATTTCTGGTTAACGTCTGGTTACTTGATGTGAAAAAAACTATAAACTATCTCTTCACTATAACTCTTGTCCGGAGTGAATTCGATCGAAGGATAGTTTGGCTATAAATCAGAAGATTGAAACAGCCATAGCCTAAGTAGGACTCACGAAATTGACCGCACATGAATGATATTGAGGTTC